GCTCTAATTGCACCAAGCAGGGAAAGCCTGCTGGGCCCACTTGGGATCAGGGGCGAGCTCTGTATGCCTATTGATGGATACAAAACTAGGTCAAAATGCCTAGAAACTTCTAGGAGTGTGTGATATTTCTCCAAATACCAGATAACTATATTACTGGCAATGAAATGCAAATGAATGAAACTTCTGAATCAGAAATCTAGAGGCAATACTTAGAGGAAATTTGCTGTAAGGGTAGGAGTTCTAGTTAGAATTTTTTGGTGCTGATCGAACACATGTTTAAGCATGTGCTCCTATCCAAGATATGGGGAGGTAGTAGCTTTCCTCTTCTCGAGATTAATAATAATTTTTGGAAAATGATAAAACTAAATGATAAAACCCAGAAACCCTTGTAAAATCTGCAAGGAAGCAGATAAAGCCATCCCCGTATGTCTCCTCAGTTGAATGAATAAGCAACATTTAGGTGAGTTAAGCAACAAGAGCTTCTCTTTTATCTTAATCAAATAAAAAGGCCATGCTGGACCAGTTAATTAAAGGAGGGGCTGCTATGGGCTTTGTGCTGTTCTCATATGTACAATGAGGGAAATTCACCTCTTGAATAGGGGTCTGTTACAGCCAGTGATGTGGTTCTGACTATGAGTGAGATCTAAAATCACAGAGCTTGGAGTTTGCTTTCCATGGGAAATCTTTGCACGGGCATAAATAATTTCATGTTTCAGGAGAACTCAGGAATTTAATGAGGGGAAATTAAGACCAAAACCTTCTGCTTTACCCACATTTTCAGTTTTGATTTCTTAATTTTCATGTCCTTTATTTAGTGAGGTTGGACTGAGAAAGTTGCTAAGTGGTTGTTTCAGTTGGTGATCACAGAATCACAGAATCACCCGGGTTGGAAGGGACCTCAAGGATCATGTAGTTCCAACCCCCTGCCTAGCAGGGCCACCAAACACACACATTCAGATCAGGTTGCCCAGGACCCCGTCCAACCTGGCCTTAAACACATCCAAGGACGGGGCATCCACAACCTCCCTGGGCAGCCCGTTCCAGGGCCTAACCACTCTCCTTGTAAAGAACTTCCCCCTAACATCCAACCTAAATCTTCCCTCCCTCAGCTTGGATCCATTTCCCCCAGTCCTGCTGTTGTCAGCCCTTTTGAAGAGTTTACTCCCCTCGTGGGTGTAGGTTCCCTTCAGGTATTGATAGGCTGCAATGAGGTCACCCCGCAGCCTTCTCTTCTCCAGGCTGAACAAGCCCAACTCCCTCAGCCTGTCCTCATAGGGGAGGTGCTCCAGCCCCCTGATCATCTTAGTCGCCCTCCTCTGGACCGAGGAGGAGTTCTTGAAAACTGATATTTAAATTTTCACTGGCTTAAGACCCTAAACATATTTTTAAGGGTTTTGTCACAGTAACACTGGGAGGGGACACTGGAAAACTGAAAAGATCCAAACAATTTTCCATTCGCAATCGAAAAAATTTTTGAAAGAAGTATTTGAAGGTACTTCTTGATACTTAACTCTGTCTTGATGTAAGTTTAGGCCAAGAGAAGATGACCTCAGTGGTACTATTACAGAACGGCTGATAACGTGCATTAATTGTGGAGAGTCTTCTTTGAGGTACAGCTCTCTGGTAATGAAACTCGTTGCACTCATCATGAGCTGGTGACCTAAGGAAATGGAGCTGACCAAGTAAACTGAGACTGAGGGTGGTCAGAAACTCCTAGTACACAACAGAGGGAAATAAAGCAGTCCCTGTACTTTAAGGACACAATCTCCAAACGTGTAATCTGTTTCTCGTGCAAGACATGTGGCCCAGTATAGAAGTTTTAGGTCAACTGATTCGGTTACAGATTAGCCTCAATGTTCTGAAAGAGAAGACTGTAGTTACTTATGGTCTTTAATTCCTGCTAAAGGATTATACTGGTTGATACGCTATTCCTACAATGTAAAATGTTTTTGTGGGTTTGCTAAATTAGCCTTTGTCACAGAAAGGCTTCTTATGTGCTTCTAGTCAGAAGAAGAGACAGCTTTGAGTTTGTAGCAGCTTAGATTGCCAGTGATTGAAATCTTCATCTAAAATTAATACATTTTTCTTACTCTTCCTGGATTATGTTCCCATACAGTTTTGCAAATGCATTGTAGAGATGTGACCCACTCTGATTTAAACATTGCATGCAAGGCACTTAACATAGAAATCTCCAATAGAGGGGCAGAAACAAGTGTTAAGAGGAGAAAAATAATGTAATTACAGGTAAACTAATTGCCATTTGTGAAGTGTTTGGAAAAGTGACTTTAATAAATGTAATTTTAAAGCTTCAAGTCATATTTTTTCAGAAAGACTTCCATTTTAGGTAATGGTGTGTATGTTGATAGATATTTTCAGAAGATAAATGTTTGTTTTAAATAGTACCTCCTTTAATATTCATGACTGTACATACATATACTTTCTGCTTTTCTTTGTTTGTGAAATATTTACTGTCTTGATCTTGGCACACATGATGTGCTGACTGTTACAGACCTCTTACAAGAATGCTTTACCCTGAAAATCTAGGTCAGAATAAAGCCATACAATAGAAATTTTTCGTAATAGAGTTAGCATGTGATTTTTCATTATTTTAGCATGTGATTTTTCATCATTTTGAACTGCTTCAAAATAATGGACAGAGTATAGAGAAAGACATAATGGGTACTTTTACCCTGTACACTATGGATCTCTGGGATCCAGTGAAATAAATCCTATCCCAGTGAAAGTTATTAACAGACCAACTTGGCAAGCTTTTAACCAGTGTGAGAAAGAGTTTCCCAGCTGTTATAATTTGTGCTTGTGGTTGTGGGCGTAATACAAGTCAGTGCTGTTAACGTCAAGTGCTTGAATCCCTTTTAAATTTAACAGGTTTGGGAAGTAGATGATTCTCATTGGACTTGAGGAGTGTTTGTATATTGAGGAACTTTGTATATCTAGATTCTGTTTAGTACATACTGCCTTGTTTGAAAGATCTGATCTCTTCCTTGTGTTTTTCTTTCAAATTCTGATTTCCAAAAGACTGTGACATGCCTTGGTGATTCTATGATAGGCATGAGGAACAAGGTTGTTAGACCTTGTTGGGGAACCACGGATTTTTTTCTTCTAAGTGGCTGTTCCTTTTGTGAGGTTCTGTTTGTATTTGTTATGGGACCTGTCCCCAAAAGATGTAGTGTGAATACACTGCTGTTTTCATACCTCTTTCATACCTGTTCATACTGTTCTTTTCATACCTGTGTTATCTTGGTATCTTCCCAGGAAATTGTTTCATTCAGGTCCAGAACAAGATTTTAGACTGAAAAAAAACCCCAAACATTGTTTCAATACTTTTGATCAATTAGATTTTCTAGAATATCTGCTGTGAAAAAAGAAGGCTCAGGTATACCAAGAGAGATTTTCTGTGGCTGCTGCTTTCCTCCTGCAGTGGGGAATTCTGAAAGTATTCGTTGTGTACCTGGGAAGTCTTCTGGCAACACAACATTCATGTTCTCTCCTGGAATTCACGTTTGCTCGCTGGTATTGGAAGAGTGTGAATTGAGAGTAGAAAAAAGAAGAAAATTTAAGAAGAATGCTAATTGGGGACCGGAGAAAAACAAGAAGTGGTGGAGTTAGGAAGAAAGAGAAATCAGAAGAAGACAATCAACCATTCCTTTTTTAGGAGCTTGTGTACGAGATGATTCTTTACATCATTTCAGTGTTCCAGCTACAGCTTAGGCTAATGATCACAGCACTGGGGTTGTTTACCTGTTGAATACAAATGCTGCCTGGGTATGCACTAATATGGCAAAATGGGTTACTGAATCCCAGTACTGTATGTAAAAGGATCTTCTGTCCTTCCATTTTTGTCTTTATTTTATTATAAAAACATTTTCAACATAGAGTGGGATTGTTTTTTGACACCTTACTTGACATTTTTTTATTGTTAATGTTTTAATGAGGGGCAGTGGTCATTTTAAGTAAGACAAGCAAATAAATAAAAGGGAAAATGGTTCTGAAAAGTTTAAATGCTGGTCAGAGCTCTCTCCACACTCCTCACTCAGTCATTATCCCATTCCTCCTCTAAAGATCACTAAAGCAAAGAGACCTCCTCTAAATCATAAGTGGAAAAGGTGAATTTGTGAGTCATTATTACAGATCGTAATGAAAATCAAATTAACTAGTGATGTTTTGCAAGCAACAATCTCATTATTACTGCACAGTTTTTTAGATGTCAGCTAGCTAAATGTCAGCTTCTTGTTTTGCTTGCCAGTAAATATAGTGAGCTTTATTCATACAGATTCCCTCTTTCTGTAAAATGCCTCTGTACAGCACTGAGAAACTGTGTACTAGAAATTTTGACTTTCCACACCAGAGTGCTGACATGTTAGACTGTAGTATGCCTTAAAATGTGCATCATGCCAGACAAAATGGATGTAACTAAGTCTGAATCTGCAATTCAAGGATTCTCTTTTACTGTACATCTGTTTATGCTGTGTTTCATGTCGTACCTCTTTTGGTGGGGAAGGGACAAAATCATAGGGCTTTGCTTTTGATGGACTGGCTGTTACCATCCAAGTAGTTACTCTGATGAGAGAGCAGAATTATTGAAGCTGTAGTGATTGGAGGACAACAATCTGCTCCAAGTCTGTGGAGTTACATTAACTGAGGAGTATTAAATATGATAACTGAGCCATCAGAATCATAAAGTACCCTGAAAAGACACTTAGAAAATGGCAGCAAGGCTTAAAACTTTAAAAATTTCTGAAATTTTTCATACAGTGAATCAAGAGTGTGTGTGCTTATGAGTGGGTTTCCATTTGTGTAGTACGAGAGGTCTGCCACTCTCAGTTTGGCCTTCAGTAGTTATTGCAAAGTACTGATCTTAACATCAGCCTCTCAGTAAGGAACTGGTGATGTCTAATTGTCATCACTGTTTAGTGGAAATAAATTTATATTGCCCACTAGACATGATTTTGAAGGATTAAGTAAACTTTTCTTTTTTTCAGGCTATAAGACCCTTTTAAAAGGAATTTCAGGGAAGTTCAGCAGTGGAGAACTTGTTGCAATTATGGGCCCCTCAGGAGCTGGGAAGTCAACACTCATGAACATTCTGGCAGGATACAGGTCAGTAACATGAAAGCCTCAAGTAAGGATCAAGGTTGATGACTCCTTGGAGTAAAGAACAGAAGAAATCTTAGCCAGTGTTTATAGAAAATAAATATTCCACAGATTCTCTATTTGATTCTTACTGCTTATATTATTTTTTCTATTTTTCCTGTTGTGGTCACTTATGATTTATCTGTTAACAAGTTGGATCCAGAAATAGGAAATAATTTGAAGTCTAGAACACCAAAAAAATTCTCGCTCCAACTTTGTAGAGAATCTGATTCAGTGTCTTATATTTGTCATATTTTAAATTCAAATCTTACAAATGTCTGAAAAAAGAAGACCCTTTTTAATGAATGCATTCACAGTGTTGATGTCTTCTAGACCAAAGTGCAATGGGTTAAGGACTGTAGTTCATCATCCTCAATCTCCTATTGTATGGCTAAGTACAGGTTTTCTCTGTGTTGTTGTCAGTAGTGCATAAGGAACAAGATAGAGAAACCTAACCAACAGCTGCATATTTTTTCAGACATTTGTGTAAGACAGTATGCATTTTGTATTGAATTAAAATCATCAGCAAAATTGCATGAAGCCTCTTATGAAAGAGAACATAATTACAAAATAATTTCATTTCTATCCACTGTGTCAGTTTTATTCCACACTGGACAATAATTTCCTAGGACTGCCACGTAATGAGGACCATGACATAACAGAGGAAAGCAAGATTCATGTGTGGTTGTTTTGTTTATTCATTATAGAGAGACAGGAATGAAAGGAGAAATTCTCATCAATGGGCAGCCTCGTGACCTACGCTCCTTTCGCAAAGTCTCCTGCTACATCATGCAAGATGACATGCTCCTTCCTCATCTGACTGTCCAAGAAGCTATGATGGTGAACTTTGTTTTTAGCTGTAATTTATTTGTGTGGGAGAAAGTGGAAAATCTTTATTTGTGTATTGCATGTATTCTTACTTCTAGCAATGCCATTTACTATTAGCTCTATTTGATCCTGCTCAGTGAGAGTATGTGGACTTTGATAATGACTTGAATTCTTCTTCTGCTTTATTGCTTTCATTTTGTGATGAGCATTATGATTTAGAAGAAAATCTAAGGCTGTACTAAATAGTCTTCCCAAAGAATGAAGCCTGCAATTCCATACAGAATGAGTCTTTATGGGAACCATTGCATTTCTTGGGTGGTGGTCAAGTATTTGCTTTCCTTTTCTCTCCATCTTCCATGTTCTGACTGTAAAGTTTCTATTTTGACTTTAAACATGGTCTCTCTGCTAGTTAACTCTTACTTGACTTTAATAAATGAATTGTATAAAATCTTTTTGAGTTCTTCAAAGGAAAACAGCAAAAATAGAATAATCCTACGATTACAGGCAGCATTAATCTTCTTGATGCTTATCATAGCATCAAGAGGTTTACTAATTGCCACATAGACTAATCAGTCTAGAAAGGCCTGTTGCTCAGCTTGAGAAACAGGGTGATTTTTCTCAGATTGTTATCAAAGTAAGTCTAAGGTTGCTCATACTGTATATCAGCATCAGTTCACAAATTTCAAGGTCAAAGAAATAACTATAGTCTTGGCTGTGCTTTATGTGGCTGATTTCCTGTAGAGACACTCCTCTGTGAGGAATTTTTCCTGTTTTGTTTGTTTGAATGTTGTAGTTAGAATCCCATAGGATCACTTTTGTAGAAATGGACCCAAGTGATACTTTCTGTCTAAATTAATTAATCAAAGCTCTGACAAAAATAATTTCTTAACAGTTTAATTTCTTCTCATAAAGGCTAATCAGGAAGTTTTGGGAAGCTACCTCTTAGGACAGCTGTGACATCTTTCATAAGATTATTTATTTCTGTACCCATTTGTTTATCTCCTGAAGAACAACCATTTTTTTGTTATCCTTGTGATATAGGTGAAGCACAGATAATCTGTGCTTTGAGCACTGCCTGTGAAGTTAGCAGCTATGCAAAAACACGATTCTTCAATCTTCTTCTGATCTTCCTTTAACTTGCAAAACTGACTTTCTTTCTAAGGTGATTTTTGTTGGATGCTGGAGTATTTAAGTCAGGTTGTTCTCATGCACAGGCATATGTGATACTTGCGATTTGGACATTATAGTTCAGTCTAAATTGAATAAAGAGGTCATTGAAATTGTACATTGGGATGTTTTGCTTGAGACATCCACTATAATTTATGGTCAAGCATCAGACCAGTTCATAACCAGATTCTTTTGTATTTTGTACTCCAGGTATCTGCTCATCTGAAACTTCAAGAGAAAGATGAAGGCAGGAAAGAAATGGTATGTGTACTCACTATCAAACTGAGAATTTTGGGGGATGGTAAAGTAGTGTGTGAAGTGAGCACTCCTAAACTGATACCCTTAATCTAAAACTGAATTGCGTTGGACTTAAAATAATGGAATAAATCAGAACCTCAAAGTTAACAGGTATCATTATGTGTGAAGACATGGTACAGATTGCATAAAAGTTGTTTTCAGTATGCCTGATTCTGATAATGAGTAGATAATTGCAAAAAAATGTATCAAAATGAATTCATAGGTTTTGTAGGATTCCTTTTGATGTTACTTAACATGTAGATTTTTTCATATGCATATCTGATGGCTCAGGTATTCTCATGACCTGGGGTACTGGTCAACGCTTAGCTCAATGTGAGCCAGCAGTGTGCCCAGGTGGCCAAGAAGGCCAATGGCATCCTGGCTTGTAACAGGAATGGTGCTGCCAGCAGGAACAGGGAGGTGATCATCCTTCAGTACTCAGCCCTGGTGCGGCGGCACCTCAAGTGCTGTGTTCAGTTTTGTGAACCTCACTACAAGGAAGAAGACATGGAGGCCCTGAAGTGTGTCCAGAGAAGGGCAATGGAGCTGAGAGGTCTGGAGCACAAGTTTTCTGAGGAGCAGCTGAGGGAACTGGGATTGTTCAGTCTACAGAAGAGGAGGCCCAGGGAAGACTATATCTCTCTCTTCAACCACCTGAGAGGGGGTTGTAATGAGGAGAAAATCAGCCTCTTCTCCCAAGTAACTAGCAATAGGACTAGAAGGAATGGCCTCAGGTTGCACCAGGGGAGATTCAGGTTGGGTGTTAGGAAATACTTCTCTGAGAGAGTGGTCAGGTGCGGGAATGGGCTGCCCGGGGAGGTGGTGGAGTCACCGACCCTGGAGGTGTTCAGGAAATGTTTAGATGTTGTACTGAAGGTTATGGTTTACTGGGAAATATTGGTGGTAGGTGGATGGTTGGACTGGTCAATCTTGGAGGTCTTTTCCAACCTTGGTGATTCTATGATTCTCTGTGATTTTGTGTGTGGTGACATAAGTCAGTCATGTCTGGCAACAGTGAGCGAAGGCCTTTGTTCACTTGAATGCTTCAAGGGAGTTGAAGTGTTCAACAAGAAAGTGTTCATTTTTCCAAAGGTTAATGAAAAATTCAAGAGTTCTTGCAACTACTGCAGAAATTTCTGTGCCCATGTTTGAAAGTTTTGATCATTGTAGCTGTGCTGGTGAGCAGAAAGGATGGGTTTTGAAATCATGTTGCTCAGATAGGCAAGATCGTGCAGTTGCAGTTAAGGTAGAGGCTTATTTGAAGGTATTTGAAGCTTTTTTAAGTGTCCAAAGTTTGGATAAGTAGGAAGCTAGGCTAAAACATGCATGTGTCTTTTTGAAAACACCAGGAATTAGTTACAGGGTTTACACTTGCATGTTTGGTGTGCTGTCTTGCTTCTGGCTGTTGCTGTCTGAGTGAGAGAAAAGCCGTGGTATATTTTTGCCTGTGAAGACCTATAACCTACCTGAACCTGCACTGTGTGCTCCTCTCACTTATCTGACTATGACAGTTCCTCCTGATTATTTGATCTTACACAGCACTGTGTTTTTAAAGAAAATGTTTTGGAGGTGTTCGACTAGTCATAAGGGCTGCTGGCATGTTAGCTTATGAGGCAGCGTTCTCACCTGACTTTGGTTACCTCAGTTATACTTCAAAGAGCTGGAAATGTACCCCGTCTCCCCATTTATTCTGCACTTTAAAAATCTGGGCCTCTACGTACCCAAGAATACTCAGAGCTCAGGTGTCTGTCTCTGTTTGAGTGGCGTTACCAGAGCATGCTGAAGCATATGGGAGGAACACTTCTGTGCTGCACAGTGTGTTTCAAAACAGTGCATACCTGGGGAGGATTACGCCTGCAGCTAAAAATAAAAGAAAAAATAATGGCGCTGTTGAAAATAAAGGTGGTTTGCATTGCTGAGAGACTCATTAAACGTGAAACTGTAGCTCAGTGAGCATTTGGAAATGTTTTTACTGGCCTCAAGCTATGTTTCAGTCCAGTGTAAAACAACACCAAGCAAGGAGATGTTGCATAATCGCTGTCTCATACACTGCCTTTTCAAGGTAAAAACCTCTGCTATTTGGGAGTTGGTGTGAGTGCTAATGGGGATTATGTGATAACACGGTCCTACTGCTAAACTTAAAATCTACTTTCCAAGAAGACTGGCAGCTCCTTTTATCTGTGTATGTTACTCTGGATAAGTATTTCCTGTAAAATTCAAGTTCTAATCTTTCCTTGGCTTTTCAGAGTTGGTTATTTTTTTTTGTTTGGGTTTTTTTTTCCCCCATAAATAGAAAAGGTCATGTTTTCATTCTGGTGTATTTTGTGCTCCCAAAACCGTACACTTAACAGGTGAATTTAGGAATAGTTTAGGCAGCTGGAAAAAGCCATGTAACAGAACTCAAATGAAACAAAAGTCTGAAGAACGAAGAAGGCGATGAGTATGCACATTGGAAAGGTGTGGCCTGATGTTTCAGGAACATTAGATGCTTCCTACTCTTCCTCACATTCCAGTCTGTTTTAGAGTCATAGAATGACCTGGGTTGAAAAGTACCACAATGAACATCTAGTTTCACTTCCCCCTGCCATGGGCAGGGTCACCAACCACGAGACCAGGCTGCCCAGAGCCACATCCAGCCTGGCCTTGAATGCCTCCAGGGATGGGGCATCCACAGCCTGCTTAGGCAACCTGTTCCAGTGTGTCACCACTCTCTGAGATAAAAACTTCCTCCTAATATCTAACCTAAACCTCCCCTGTCTTATTTTAAAACCGTTTCCCCTTGTCCTACCACTGTCCACCCTCATAAACAGTCATATCTCCTCCTGTTTATACACTCCCTTCATGTGCTAGAAGATCACAGTGAGGTCTCCCTGGAACCTTCTACAAGCTAAACAAGCCCAGTTCCCTCAACCTTTCTAATTCGATTTATTCTTGCACATCTGATTGAGACCTGAACTTGACTTTTTGGACTTACCTACTCCAGAGGAGTATCTTATTCTAGTAAAAGATGCCTCTGGCCTTAGCTGGCATGTGGATCGTAAGATCCACATGCAGAAGGAGAACGGGAAACTACTTCTGATCCATCTGGGGAAAAGTAAATCCTTTGCCTACAATATGAAAATGGTATCTTCAGGGATACAGAAGCAATTTCCATTGCTACCTGCTATCCATATTTATTTCCTAATTAATTGGAACATTCTAAAGCTCTTCAATCTCAGAGAATCTGTGAAATTCAGAAAAAACTCCAGACAGGTAGGTGAATCAACATATTGGTTAGAATAGCTTTGGTTGACTCAAATATATTTTTCTTAATATGATAAATGCACATTTTTAATTGGAAAAATGTATTTGTTCAGAAACAACTGTTATTTCACTTGTACTTTGAAAGTCTTAATTTGTTTGCCCTTTGCTAAGTTAGGCCAAGCAAGTTCTTCTGTAATTATGAACAGAAATTTGAGGAAAAGACTGTGTTGTATGCATTTGCACAACTCTTGTTAAAAGGGCACTCATTTTAGTATTACTAGCCTGTGCTGGAATAAATCATTGATTTTATTATTATAAATTGGTAAATGTTGGTCAGAGTTAAATTGTATGAATTTATGCACTTGTGTTAACAAGATTACAGATGCCTGTTTAAAACAGCCAGGGACAAGTGAAAGATCTCCAGTGAAGTTTCTGGTTTGTTTCTGAAGTTTCTGGTTGGTTTAGCACGTGTTGCCCATGTTCCATAGTACCTTCCCTAAGAATTAAGGATAGGGGTAGTTGGGCTCTTCTCTCAGAATGGGAGCTGGTTGGTAGTTGGTTTATTGGAGTCATATTTCTTGAGTTCAGACATTTTAATGTCTGTGTTTTTACTGACGCCAAAGTGTTGCTTTCCTTATATAGAGCTACAAGTCTGGATCTGCAATCACTGAGATAGAAAAATTCACAGCAGCTGGGATTGTTCTCCTCTGTTCTAAAGACTCTGGGACAAACTGCATTTCCTGAGGCAGTGTCTTGAGGAACTCCCAAACATCTGAGAATACATGATAGCTCAGTTGGCTCTCAGAGAATGAAAACACTTAGAATCTGTGGCCACCCTTTAAAGAGTGGACTTGAAAGAACAGATATGAGAACAGCTGAAGCCTCTTTAGAAACTACTCATTTGTGTTATATAGTTCTCCATACTCTTGAAAGCCTAGAAGTTCGTATAAAAGAAGCTTGTTGGTTTTGCTGTGTAGTAAGTGTTCACAAAAAACACTGCCAAGATCTTTTGATATTTTGAGGGTGACGGAGCGCTAGAACAGGCTGCCCAGGGAGGTGGTGGAGTCTCCTTCTCTGGAGATGTTCAAGACCTTCCTGGATGCCCACCTGTGGACCTGCTATAGGGAACCTGCTTTGGCAGGGGAGTTGGACTCGATGATCTTTGGAGGTCCCTTCCAACCCCTACAATTCTGTGATTCTGTGATATATGCACCATATCCAAGGAACACTATGGAAGGTCTGGTTATCACAAGAATGGCTTTCTACTGAGACAAAAAATGCATTACAGACAAGTAGAATTTTGGTCAAAATGTTTGGTGCTAGGTTAAGCCCCACTGAATCTAATAAATGTTTAATCCTTTCTACATTATATGGAAATAGTCTTTGATATAGAGGTAGTGAAACAAAGTCATACTTTAACTTACTTTCTCCATGAAAATTGGTACTATAGTAAAGAAGCTCTTTTCTGCTAAGATATTTAAATGATTTGCATTGTTGTGTTTCCTGTAGGTGAAGGAAATATTGACAGCCCTTGGTTTGCTAACCTGTGCCAATACAAGGACTGGGAGTCTATCTGGAGGCCAGAGAAAGCGTCTTGCCATTGCTTTGGAGCTGGTGAACAATCCTCCTGTTATGTTTTTTGATGAACCAACCAGGTACTTCAGGGGCAAAAATTAAGGTTGCTCACATGATAGCACAGTGCTGCAGAACAGCTATTCACATCTAAGTAATTGGAAAAGGCTCATGTTGTATTGCATTGAAGTGCTGAATAATGTCTCAGTACTTTCATTTGAGTACTTAGTGCCTTGGCTCACTTCTACAAACATGAGACCATGGGTCAATAAGTAATATTTAAAGAAGACATGAACTGAAATAAGAAAAGAGAGGATATTGTTTTCAGATTGTATCACGTGAGCTTTCTTCTTCAAGCAAAAATATAAGCTTGAATATAAGTATTTTGAAGATTAACTTTTTATAACAAGTGTAGCATATTTTGGATCAAATTCTGTGATCAATTTAGGAGGAAGCTGGGAGGGCCATGAATATGTATCTATTCATTAAAGTTAGGCACATTTAAATCTGTAGTTCTGAAATGCAGAAATCCCTTAAGGCAGTTTTCAGAATACTGCTATTTTTCATTCTTGGGCATGTTTCCAACTTAATTAAAAGACTGAAGGAGAAATACAAGCGTAAGGTTGGCATATGATAAAATTAAACTGTTAAAGAGAAAATTTCTAGGAAGATAATAGCCAGATACCAAAGTATCAAATACGTGTGCTAGTTCTGAGGGGTGTGTATGGATCTATGGATAACAGACTTCTTTCCTCTCATTCAGCGGCTTGGATAGCGCATCATGTTTTCAAGTTGTCTCTCTGATGAAAGCTTTAGCCCAGGGTGGCCGGTCCATCATCTGCACAATTCATCAGCCCAGTGCTAAACTCTTTGAGTTGTTTGATCAGGTATAATTCTCACTCTTTTTACATGGTTTAGGAAGGCTATACTTTCCAAGCTACATTCTCTCAGTAAAAAGATGAACTCTATGGTTCCAAATCAAATACATAAATAAATTGGAGTAAAAAATATGTTTTATTATGTTTTCTTTTTCTTTTTCTTTTTTTTTTTTTCTCTGCCTGTTTTCATTTTCCATTCCTGTTTAAGTGCAATATTTTTAAAGAATCTGGCTGGTATGTTTGTAAAATTGTGATTATCACAGTTAAGAATTGTATACCTTCACTTACTACTGTTCCTGGGCACAGTGCTGTCAGTAAAGTAAATGAGAAGTAATTTTTAAGAGCAGGAGAGCTTTATTGCAGATATCTGTGGTGTTATTACTAGTACACATTCTTATCTTAGTTACACAGGTGTAAATTCAGAAGTGTTTATTGATGATGGTAAGAATTGAAATGAAGTCAACTGGAGATCTTTTCTCCAACCTAACAACAAGATGTGAACCATGTGCTTTTAGATTAGATTTTAGATTTAAATTTACCTGAATCTTTTTAGGATATCTAAATCAGAGACAAGAGAAAACTTACTACACCATGGGTGAACAAACTCTTGCAAGAATACCAGTCTGGCAAGCTGGGGGTTATTTAATGCCAGCAGTACAGCAAAAAGTGAGGATAATCAAGCTGTTTCCTGTTGCTGTGCTGTTCTGCTTCTTCTGTTCCTACATTCACCAGCCTCGTCTCCCAACAAAAAGATCCATAATATATGGAAATTAGATGGCTTGGTTATGCAGTTTCTTATCTGATTTCAAATGTGTCTAAGGCTTGAATTAGTCTGTTTCTGAGTTAATGTGCTTTAAGTCCTGGAGGGAATGTTTGCAGAATTCACATCTCAAGCATTTCATCTTTCATTAGTTGTTATTCCATACAAAGATAGTTCCAAATGGTGACAGATCTTCCAGATATATTTCTCTGACTGGGCCTACAAGAGTATGTTGTGTTCATGGTTTGCTGTCATACAGTTAGGATGTTCAAATATTATTACATTATTTCATGTTGTGATTCTCTTTTCTTTGCCTTGTATTTCAGCTCTATGTTTTAAGTCAAGGTCAATGTATTTACCGGGGAAAAGTATTAAACCTTGTCCCTTACTTAAGAGATTTGGGTTTGAATTGTCCAACCTATCACAATCCTGCAGATTTTGGTAAGGAAAATTTGAATAATTTGTTTTGTGTTTGGCTAGCACTTTCAGGATAAGGGGAATCATGGTGCAGTTTGTACTTTTGTACATGTATACATATGTTTCTGTGTACATATATGTACCAAAACTGGAATTAAAATCAATTGGATTATTTCTAAGCAATTTGAATGCCATCTGGTGGTCGAATTTAGTGACTGTTTCTCTCTGATAGAAGTGCAGGTTCATGAAATAAAAGGTTAAACATATCATTTTGTATTTCATAGTAATTTAATCACAATGATTTTTCAAAGTGACTCCAATATTCTAGTATTTTGGATTTGTTTGTTTTTCTGTTTTGTTTGGGTTTTTTTTTTGTTTTTCATGAACAATACCATAGTACCATACAGCTGATAGAATTGAGATTTTTCTTTTGTTCTTAATTCCAAAAATGAACTAAAGACCACAAAATAGGCATTTGTCACTTTTGATTACCAATACTGTTTCATATTTACTACTTTTCACCTAAAACGGTTCATGTAACTATGAAGATCAGGTGAATTTTCTGAAGATGTATAGAAAAATGCACTTAAATTATGTATATATACACGTGAATTTAGATTAGAGCCCTTTTAAAAACAAACTCCTACAACTATTAATGCTACGGAATCAAGGAAACCTAGTAATAAGGCCTGTAACTAACCCATAGTATAAACCAGTAACTCATCTTCTGATTTATGTAGTTATGGAAGTAGCATCTGGTGAATATGGAGACCAGAACAGCCGACTGGTAAGGGCAGTACGGGAGAGGATTTGTGACACAGACTACAAGAGAGATGTTGGTGGTGAGAATGAGTTGAATCCCTTTCTCTGGCACCGGCCCTCTGAAGAGGTATTTCGTATGTCACAAGTAATGGGTATGGCTTGAGGTTGGAGAGGGAGGAAGAGAATTTAAAATCCTCAGTCAATTGAGGAGTTTTTGGGCACATTCAGCTGACGATAATGGGGTTTTGTGAAAGAAAACTAAGCAAGACACTGCAAAGAAAGGAGTTTATTCTTTCATGTGTTTCCGCAGGATTCCTCCTCCACAGAAGGCTGCCACAGCTTCTCCGCCAGCTGCCTAACCCAATTTTGTATCCTCTTCAAAAGAACTTTTCTCACCATCATGAGGGATTCAGTAAGTCTGCTTTGATAGTACCTTTGGAGCCTAAAGGTTTATTCAGTTAGTTGTAAGACATTATAAATATGCTTTAAGAGTCTTGTCCACAGCCCATGCATGAAGATTGACAATGAATTTTGAAGTAAAGACGCTTCTCTTTCAATATTGCTATTAATTGTACCACCTTAATTGTGAACAGCAGTTTTCTTCAGTAGAATTCAAACGCATTTGGGCTACAAACCTAAAGCTGAAATTTTCTCTGTGCTGGCAAGTTACTTATGCAAATATTTATCTTTTTAAAAAGTGATAATGATGGTGTACTGGTATGCCAGAAAATTATTGTCTCTTCAGACTATTCAAGGTGGCAGAGATACAATTTCAGTGTAATGTAAAGTTAATGCTTAAAATCTTTCTTTTTGCTCCTGAAACATAAAACCAATAAATCAAAACTTGCTTATGTGAAAAGGAAATACTTGTTTCCATACACTTACAATACAGTAAGTATCAAAATGAAACTCTTCATTCACAGGGGAAAAAAAAAAAACTATTTTTCACCTTTTTCTGAAAATAAATTCCTTCAAAGTTCCCAGGGCTGCAGTTTTCTTGTAAGTTTATTAAATGTTTTGCAGAGATAGTTTGCATTAGCAAAATATAAAGGGACATTTTTTTAAACTCAGAAAAGTCTTTCTTATCTTGAAGTAGCTGAATTGTTTGTGAATTTGAGAGATAGGAGTATATACACTTGTGATCGATGCTCCTGCTTTGAAAGGTCCTCTAGATATGAGTGTCCCTCTACTAACAGGCACAAGTTAAGGAGATGAGCTTCCTCAAAAGTAGACTTTATGTTAAAACTTGTCCAAGGGACTCCTCAGTGTGAAGTGTCCTTGTCCAAGTGGTTTTCTCAGTGACAGATTTGCAATCTGATAAATCTGAGGAAGGATTGTTTGCTGCTTTTTCTGTTTTGGAGGGTTTTCAGTGCTTCACATGAGAGGAGAAAAGACAGCATAGACACTAATGCACACATTAATTAGATATACCTGTCTTTAAGAAAGGGGAAAGCCATAAAATGTATCATGCATGAGGTAGTTAGAAACCCAAAAGTGCTTGAGCCAGATGGAGCTCAGCATGAGCAAATTACTCTTGCAACAGAGTAAGCTGAGTTTCACTGAGCTCCAGATGCTGTGACTGTGCTGCACTTGCCCCACACCTAGGGAAGTAGCTCTTTAGGACAAAATAGTTTACAGTATAGACATGTACACAGAACTAAAGGCTGGGAAGAAATCTACTGGGACTCTGTGTCCAGGCCTCCACTGTCAGATAACAAGTGTTGCATCTTTTTTAGAAAGAGAAACACTATATTGACTGTTATAGTAAAAGCAAGCAGCTGTTTTCCATAATATGGTAGTTGGGAAGATATGCCAGAACCATGCTGTCACAGTGGTTAGGAAGCGTCTTGTTTCCAGACCATATGTGTTATGTTGAGAGTGGTGAGGTGCTGACACAGGATTCCCAGAGAGGTTGTGGATGCTCCGGCCCTGCAGATATTCAAGACAAGGTTGGATGGGGCCCTGGGCAGTCTGACCTACTATCAGATCTGGAGGTTGGTGACACTACCACAGACAGGGGTTGGAACTTGATGATCATTGGGATCCATTCCAACCCAAGCCACTCTGATTCTGTGATTCTGTGCCCGTTGGTTGTGTTACCAGTGCGTTTATTTGTCATCTCTCATTATTGTCCCTTGCTGTTGTTTTATATTATAGTGCATTTATCATTAAAAGGTCAGTGAGGTTGTTGAATGTTGTCTTTCTGTAATGTGTGCTAGTTTGCACATCACCAAATACTCAGTCCAAAATACACTGACGTGTTCACATGGGAGATGTGTTAAAAAACAAAGCATACATGCAGCTTCATGTCAGCTAGTCAGTGGAATGTCTCTGTGGAGAGCGTATCTCCAAGGTGTACAAACCCTAACCATTGATCATAGAAACTTCTCCTCATCTCGATCTAGGGGAAACTGTGGCTTATTTTAGGATACTTAGATAGAGAAACAGTGTTGTTTTTAACAATTATTGCAGGTTTTCCATACTTTTCTTTATTCATCCATGTCACTTGTAGAACTACTGTCTTGCCGAGAAGCCACAAAAGGCTTATGTATGCCTGATTAAGTTCATTTGGTCTATACAAAGCAAACAAACAAACAAAACTCTTTTCTTCCTCCCTTGTCTTACCACTTTTATCTGCTCAGGGACGTCTGTCTTATAGTGAGAAAGTCTCCTGGTGCATGAGGGAAAATTGCTACATGACACTGTCTGACAATAGGATTTCAGGTTGCAACATTTACAATTTCTGCTTTTGTTTATTGGAAGAAATTATCTGGACTAATAGCCTGGGGTCTGATTCACACTAGAAAGTTCATTAATGTAAGTTTTCCTTAGCTGAGACCCAATTTCCTAGTAGAAAGTGAACATTCCTATATTTGTTCTTCTGGACATAATTATTATTTTTCTGCATGCTGTATATCTGATTTCAGTCATATTTCCGTTGTTTTTGAACTCAGACTTTCTGATCAGAAATACTTCTGTTTCCTTGCTTATAGGTCCTAACACATTTGCGTATCACCTCTCACATTGGAATCGGTCTGCTTATTGGCTTGCTCTACTTAGGCATTGGCAATGAAGCTAAGAAGGTTCTCAGCAATTCTGGCTTCCTCTTTTTTTCCATGTTGTTTCTTATGTTTGCTGCACTCATGCCAACCGTCCTTACATGTGAGTACCAGTCATATTCTTAAAATAAAGAACAAGGAGATTGCAACAAGTTGGAAGGGCAGTGTATCTATTTCATGTACCATGACATTTGATTGTGCTTCCAATTCTAAGACAGGCTTTAGGGTAAAGCTTGTTCTCACTAACTGCTGTGTAGAAGCTAACAGGGACAGACTTCTCTCCACAGTTCTGCAAGTAGTTCTCAACTCTCACAGTCTATTATTACAATCTTGGACTGGAATTACTCCTTTTCCTAACGTGCCAGTGTATCTCTGCTTTGTTAAGATATAAATTTTTTTAATCTTAGAAAAACTATGCTAATTTCCCTAGGACTTCTAAGTCATGACTGCTGCGTGAAATCAGTATAGTCATGTGATATCTGAAACAAACTGTTCCTTACTTCTTCTGGGAGCACTGTTACTTCGGATTTGCCTTTGTGCCAAAAGGAATAACCAGGTCCTTTAGGCTTTGAAATTCTTTTTATTTTAAAAAGCCTCTTAGAGGAGAGTTGAAATCATTTGAGTAACCCAGTGCATATTCTCAACAGTAAGCAATTCTCAGGGTAAACTTCTCACATTTCATTATAAATCTTGAAATTACTGCTGGTCTGTCAAAGGTATTTGAGATCCAGTCCCCCTGTCGGACTACAGCAGTTAAGTATTATGTTGTTATTATGTAATATTATTAGATTTGTTACTCTGTGGAAGAATATTATACACTGACAACCTGCCTACCTTTATTTGTATTTTCTGTAGTTCCTCTTGAGATGGGAGTGTTTCTTAGAGAGCACCTGAACTACTGGTACAGCCTGAAAGCCTACTATCTTGCCAAAACAATGGCTGATGTTCCTTTTCAGGTATATGTGCTACTCTTCAGTGAAATAAGAACCATCTTAAACTCATGGCAAGTGCACTTGCTGAGAAGATCAGTAACAATATTTTATCTGAGTGATGAAGAAACTTAGCCTCAGGTTCAGATAAAAAGCATCTTGATAATAGTATGCCCTCATCTGACGTAGTATTGTTTTAATTAAAAAATTACCATTTTTGCTGTTATGTAAAGAGAAATTGAAACAGGATGTAAGTGTGTGGGATTTGTTGTCTAAAACACAGTAGCATGATAGATATTATGGCTTGTGGCAGATTAATTCGTTTTTCTCAGCTGAACACCATGTGTGTCATGTAACATGTAAAGACTGAGAGCTATGGATTAACTAGGTCTCCCTATGTTTTTATCTTATTCAGAATAAAAGTGAACGTTAGGCTTCAACAGACTAACTACAAGTATATCTCCTTGCAGATCATGTTTCCTGTAGCTTATTGCAGCATCGTGTACTGGATGACTTCACAGCCGTCTGATGCACTCCGATTTGTCCTCTTTGCAGCCTTGGGAACCATGACATCCCTGGTGGCACAGTCACTGGGTCTTCTCATAGGAGCAGCCTCTACATCTCTCCAGGTACAGATGGCATTTGGTGATTTCACAATCTCCTAGATATCTCCTAGAACTGATTGCTTACTGTGAATGTTGTTGTGTCCCAAGATATGTGTTAAAAGAAGATAAGCAAAAAGTTCTCTTTGCCTGATATAGCTACTTGATGCTTCTTGCTACCAGATCTGAATGGGCTGTGCCTGCTTGAGCGGATTGTCTTTTGGTATTTACCCCTGGCTGAGGAGGACTGATGCATATACAGAATGCAGGTTGGCCATGGAGATCAGCAGCTCAGGATGGGGTTCTTCCACACGCATGCAAGGTTGCAGGTGGAAGGGTAGAAAAAAGATTGACCAGACATTAAACTTCTGCAGAAGGAGGGCAAGAAGCAGCTGTTGGCGTGACTGCTAGGCTGGAAGCTAGCCATGTAACTCCATTTTCTTCCTGGCACAGATTGATGAAGCGATAATTCACAACAGAAATGTTCTGTGGTGCCTGTTTCAACATGTTACATTGATACTAATATGCAGTGATAGTGTGAAGTTTTCTGAAGTGGAAATCTTGCTTTACTCTGTACCATTCTGTGGAAATGAGCAAAACCCTTTTCTACCTCTGTTCTTCTGCTTTCACCAGAGGTACCTGTATGACCCTTTGCCCTAGAGGAGATGTAAAGAGGAGAGGCTGTAAATAGGCCAATACCTGTCTTCCTCAACAAAGCCATTCAATTGGAAATCATTTTTACCACCTTCATCAAATTTTAGAACCAGTTGAAACTGCTTTGTGCGTGGGATTAATGAGAAGGAGGGCTGTGTATCTGCTGATCTGTCAAACAGTGAGGAAGAGGGGTCACTTACACTATCAAAGGAATCCTAGTGTACATCTTGCTCTGTAAATTTCGTGGTGGGTTTAAGTCCTTCAAAGGATGGATCCTGAAGCAGCAATGTAGGAACAAGTTTTAGGAAGATGAGAAGACCCATTTTCCTCTACTAAATGTTAACTTGCCTCTAAGGAAATTTGTCCAAAAAATTCAGTAATTGGCATTTGAAACTCTAACTATTTAATGAAGTAGCATTCAAGTCGAATGGTAGAACTCTTCACTGCCTCAGAGAGTAGAATTTCACTGTCTGTTTGGTTTGGCACAAAAACCAGGATTTTTGTTAGAGAAGTGCTATTTGACAATCTGGTTTCCTAACTTGAAATCTGGACATCAGATGAAAGAGCAAGTTAATTTTTATTTTTTTCTCTGTCTGACAAGAATCTTCCTATTCCTTCTCTTCCCAGGTAGCCACTTTTGTGGGTCCGGTTACTGCCATTCCAGTGCTTCTGTTTTCTGGTTTTTTTGTCAGCTTTGATACCATCCCAACATACCTCCAGTGGATGTCCTACATTTCCTATGTCAGGTACTTCTAGGGAGTCCATTAATTTCCCTTTTTAGAAAAGCTACTTACATGATCGTTTGGTTGTTTTGGACACCAAGAAGGCTGTGTTCAAAAGATATTCTTTTGAAGTATAGACATATATATAATGTAATATATATAATGTAAATGAATGCCACATTACCTCACTTCATTTTATTTTGTTTTTACTGTGAAGTAAACAGGAATATTTGGTATGGATCCTTGGCCACAAGTCTGTTAAGTACTTGTGGAAGGACTCTGGATTGCACAGCATCCAAATCTCCTTGGACTTTGTGATATAAAGGCGGTATACCCAAAATTGTTGAGAAACTATTGTCAGCACCACATTTCAGAAGAAAATTATGTATAAGTCACTGCTGTATCCTAGGTAGCCTTGTTGGACAAAGCATTGTTTTCTTTAAATTTTGCAGTAGCAAAGAGGCATAGGATTTTTGTCATCGCTAATCTGAATTCTTCACTCAAGAGTTTATAGGCATAGGCATGTTGCATCCTATCTATGTCAGTCACGCTCTACTTGAGACAGTTATCTTATGGTCTGATTGTCATCAGGAAACCTCTGGAGGCAGCAGACTAGTCTGGACTGGACACCTAAATATTTATGGCTAAAATTAAATGGTGAATTCCCATGATGATTATGAAAAGGTTTTCTTCGAAATCAGATGAAGTGATTAGGAAGTGGATGTTGCAGAAGGAGCTGAAGTGCATCTTAATAAGAAGTGTTTTGACTATCATTTTGTATATGGTTTGTGTATGTGTAGGCCCCTTTAGTATGAAAATAGGTTTCTAGGTGGTACCCACTTTGCTCACTCCCCTCTCCTCACCCTGCCCATACTGCAGTATTACTAAGAAAACTCAAACTGAATATGCTTTCATTTGTCTAATGATGTCTTACACAAAGACCCATCATTGATAAAGAGACTGCACCCCCTGAATTAGTTAAGCTAGAATTCGGGATGAGGCCTTAAGTCATCGTCCAGCCTGCCTAGGGTTTCCTGCAGCTGAAGGTAGCTATCATATGCATGGGAACTGTGATAACTTATCTGCTCATAGAGTAAAATCTTAAGTGCGCCTGGTTTCAGGGGAAACATGGGAACTGTGCAATATTAATTAGCGAAACTGTGGTACTTGTAAGGAAAAAGAAGAAACATTCTAGATTGATATTAGTTTTAATATATTTCTGACTTCAGACCATACTTGTATCCCCGTTGCTTAGTTTAAAAATTGAATTAATTATATCACTCTTAAAAGGAGAGTCTGAATATGAGCTGAAGTTTACCTGCTTTCTATTTTAACATTCTCCTTTTTGAGAAGTCGCATATAAATTACCAGTGGCATGTCATTTGCTTTATTGCAATAAGGATAGAATTTACCTTGGGACAAACATCAGAACAGTAACAAACTCATCAGTGTTTCCATCCAAGCTCTTATAGAGAGTATATTTCAATGGGAGCACTTCTAAACAGATCATCAACATTTTACATTATGATCCTCTCTTCTTCTTTCCAGATACGGGTTCGAAGGAGTTATTCTCTCAATCTATGGACTGGATCGAGAAGATCTGCATTGTGATAAAGATGATACTTGCCATTTTCAAAAATCAGAGGCCATTCTGAGAGAACTGGATGTAGAAAATGCCAAACTCTACCTGGACTTCATTGTTCTTGGAATTTTCTTCTTCTCTCTGCGTCTAATTGCCTATTTTGTTCTCAGATACAAAATCCGGGCAGAGAGGTAGAGGAAAAACAACCAAAATGATGCAGTAGGAAGATCTTTAGACATGCAGTAGAGGGCAGTTGACATTGTCTCACTGTGGCAGGCCCGTCTCCAGTGCCCAGCTAGATGCTGTTATGACCTAGCCCATAGAGAACCACACTGGGATAGAAGACATATAGTGTTACGTCAATCAGTCCAGTTGGGTTGGGTCATGTTTTCATTACACTTTCTAGCTTTAACCAGGAAGAAGAAATAGAAGGGAATTTTACAACACAGAATTTCAATACTGAGACAGTGTAACTGTAATTGAAAAAAAAAAAACAACTGGTTGCAGGAAATTTCTTTCTGAAAACCAATTATGCGATAAGGTAATTCAAGTCCTGGTAGCCAGAATAGTATAATGTCATCTGTAGGTGACAAGATAATGAAATGCAAAATGAGAAATGCAAAGAAAATAGGATTATCTCATCTTTTTAAATTCGAGAGTTTCATTGTCGTGGTTTTCTATGTATTATTTTGCAGTTGTTTTCCATGGCATTACCCCTACTGGCCAAAAATCTGTAACTGTAATAATAAGGAAAAGGCATCTTTTTGATATGGGTACTTTTTAAAAACAGAAAAAGAAAAGTCTAAGATGATTCAAGTCATTATTTTTGTTTCTGTTTAAATGTAGAATTCTGGTGCTTTACTTGTCGAGCTGGTCTCATATCTGAAAATTGTCATGATAGGAGGACAGGGCAGATTCTGAGTCTGCGCTAAGTCTGTGATCCATATTTGGAAGCAGCAATAGATAGCACAGACATGTTCAAGCTACTGCTGAATGATTGAAAATACATTCTTTTGCAGTGTCTTTTAAATCCTAAAGATTTGTTATCTTGAAAATACTGATACTGCTCCTTATCTGTTTGATCTACCTCCTGTGAATGAAAAGATCAAAGCGCTCCAAAGCTCATTTTTTCTTATATTATGAAAGCAGAATCTGTCCCTAAAGTCTAAGAGATCATCTGATGGAGTCCAAGACCTATCTATAGTTCAGAGCTTGGAATACTGTGTTAAACCACTTGCGACTGCCTTGTATGTCAGTGTTTGAAATGCCAGTTAAAAATGACTTGTAGGAGTCTGTTCAGAGGATGCAAAGGGCTTTGTAACACTGCAGGCCAAACAGTTTGGTTTGCATCCAAAAGTCTACGTAAGTGAAATGAAAATTAACAGCAAATTGATCTAAACACCTATGAAACTATTGCAAGAGGCATGCATTTGTTTTATATATCTCACCTTTGTAAACTTGTTGGGGAATTCTGACACTAAGTTGTTACAAATTTTGTTACTGATTTTCATGGGTATAGATTGGCAACCCAAAATGATAGCATGGCACTCATGCCCGTGTTGGACACCCTGATGAAATTCTTTGTGAATTCCAGTACCTTCTGCAGTTATTGTCCATTTACCTAAGAGTCATAGATATCTGAGTCAGAACTACACATTCTACAAATGCATTATTCCTAACAGGGTGCTGAAGTCTTATAGACTGGAAGCAGCTCAGTGACAGCAAACCACTCAGGAGCTCAGTAATTCATAATGGTAGAGTAGATGAAGACCTTGTTCATCTGCTCATCATCAATTACAGTTCACAGACTATGTTTGAGGACTTCACAGCTACATCTTTACTGGTTAACTAAATAATGCTAGAATCTGATCTCTGGCCTTTAGGCCAGTTTGCACAATCTGCTGTCTTGTTAATCCTCAAACAACTGGGTCTTCTAGGAACAATCTCTGCCCTATGCTAACTTCAAATGCTTTCTGAAAAACCTTGGGTTGTGCTGGGCGACAACTCTACCATTCATTTCTCAGTGAAGACAGTTTGTTAGTTTTCCTTACCCATGCCCAGACTATCTTTAATTTACTGGTGCAGACACAGACTGTGTATACCTATTAAAATCAGCATACTTGAGTTAAGCCAGTGTTCCAGAAGGCTGAAGGCTTTTCACGCATTTTAGGAATGGTAGCTGAACATTCCCTGGAAGTAAGGTTGGCCTGTGAAAGCAAGGTTAATCTTTACTTTAAAAGAAAAAAAAAAAATCCTTGTACAATCTGCATGGTTTTTTTGCTGGTTTTTTGTTGTTGTTGTTGTTGTTGTTTTGTTTTGTTTTTTTTTTTCTTTTCTTAAAATATCCCTGAAGCTAGTAGAGCTTTTGTACAGCTCCACAGCATTTCCAGGCATGCTAACAAGAAGATACATGTTTACCTGGCTGTTAGCTACGAGAAAGTAAGAACTTTGGCTGCTCTAAATAATACTCAGAACTGTGAACAGTTATTAAACAAGTCACAAGCTGAAATTCCTTGGTACAGCCTACTTTGATTATCTTAAGACTCTCAGAATATTTTTGTAAGTATTTCAGGCAGTTACTGTTTGCAAACAGATAAAAAACAGGATTTGCCAGATGACTGTTTTGTTACACACCGATGGTCTTGCTGTGGGCTAGCTGAGTATGAATGAATGACATCCACATCATTAAATCAGGTCAGGGTTTAAGTTTTGTGTTTACCAATACCATTTACCAAACAGCACACTGAAGATCACCTGCAGTTTATCAAATGAAATAACCTTGCTGATAAAACTGATATTTCTACACTTAGATGAGGGCGATGCTGTCTTCTCCTGTCTAACCTTATTTAGTAATATGGGCACCTTGAACACTGTCTTGTCTGTGTGTGCTTGTTCCTCTGTTGGTAGATTTTATTTTAGCTCTTTAGTCTGCAGTATATCCTTCTGCACTGTAATGATATATTGTATGATGGTAGCCAAAAATCTGATCCTCTGTGGGTGTTCCTAAGAAAATAGATGCTCCAGAATATTTCTGTCACTCCTTTTATTAGCTGTGCTTCTTCCCAGCCATCTGCTGGCAGAATTTAGCTGAAAGTTACTATTCTGAGCAACACTTTCAGGCTGTAGTATTCCAATAAAGAAATAAATGAATTCTCTTGAAGCCAGCTCTACCCACAGATGAGATAATCATTCTTTCCTGCCTTGGTGCTAAAATTAACTAATGACATCCCTTGATGTTACTGTGGGACAGAAGTATTTGAAGTGCATCCCAATTGTATGTTCTTAAGCTGTAAAGTCTTTTAACACAGATTCTGTTTGGCCTTTCTATTGTTTTGCAGAAATAAGCTCTAACAGGCTAGGATAAAATGCATTCCTGTGTTAGTGAACTGAGCAAACACTTTGCCAACCTCTGGGGGCTTCATGCTGAAAAAAAAAGATGAGGCCAGCAAGAAACGAAACACTTCAAAAAGTCTATTTTTATAACTATGTATAAATAGCCATAAACATGTTGAAATCAGTGCTATTATTACCATTCAGACATGTTGCAATCCATTTAAAAATTGCACAAGGCACAAATGTTTTTAAATGGTCTCTTGTAGACTAGACCTATGATTGCTGTTGTGATTACTAGAAGTCTTTAGCGTTCTGTTGGCTTCCTTGTTTCATTTTTGTTTATTTATTTTTATGTTATTTTGGTTATTATGTGCATCAGTTAAGACTTTATGCTTCAAATTTTTTTTTTTTTTTTTTTTTTTTTTTTTTTCTGAGACCTGCATATAATCTGGAAGTTTTCAGGAGTAATATTTTCTTTTATTTACGATGAAATAAACAATTTGGAAAACGGTTTCTACTCACATAAGAAATTGAGAAAATGTCATCTTTATGGGTCAAAGGGAGTAGTGGAAAAAATATCTGGTGCTGACTTCCTATGCGATTCTTAACATTTGAAACCCCAACTATCTCTTCTCTTATTGAAGGAGCATATATGCACATTAAAGACAGAGATAATTATGTGTGAGATAATGACTACTTGAGTCTGAAAACGGGGTGTATCAGATGACAGCTATTTCAGTCTACTCTTTTGTGCCAGTGTCTGTGTTGACAAAAGAAAAAAAAATTAACGGTATGTTAAGCATTTATTTTTGAAACAAAGTGTGGTAGTGCACCCTGATGTGTAGCACCACTGCAGTGATTCTCACAAGGACATCTTATCTGTGCGATGTGCTCAGCCTTAGATGGATGCATTCTGCTCTAATAGGTTATTCCAAAGCTTTTTCCAAAGAAGTAATTATCTGTGTTAATAACTCCTCACATCTGTATTGTTTCATGAATCAAAGTAACGACTGATATCTCTAAAATAAAGTCCAGGCTTGAGTGCTTTGCTGGTTGAGGGCTGTATTGCACAGGGAAACTGAGATGTTGGCTGTGTGAACACACTCAAAGACTATAGCAAAAAGTCAATTTGCTTTAGGTTAGTTGCTGGGTGATTACATTGATCTTGAATTCATCTTTTTGAACCAAAAAATATTCGGGGCAAAGGAGAGTTAAAATAGAGCATAGAGAGGAGTGTATGTTTTCCTGTAGTACTTCTAGTTTGGGTTTGCATAATAGCTTTTATTATCTGCATAATTTTGATAAGGAAAAACAATGTTTCTATTCTTTTCTTTCTGCACCAGAAATGCCAATCCAGGAGTGCTCTGCATACTAACACTGCCAGTGTTTATTTGTTCTTTCCAAACTAAGAAGGAAGGATTCTTAATTATTTTTCAGCATTAGCTTTTATTGAAATACAATTTCCCTCTTTTGTCACCTGCCACATGACATTTATATTCAGGACCAATACAAAAAGGGCAGAAGGAGGGACCTAAGGTGGGCAGCGATGTTTCCAGAGATCCTCAAAAAATGCATGTGAGAAGAGTGAAAATGACATTAGCAATTCTTTCTGCGGCCTCTGCGCCTTCTTCCACATTGCCTTTACTCACTGAGCTGTAGGTCCATCCCACCTGGTGGCTTGGAGAAGAGGGCTGTTTGTATTTGTCCTGCCTAATGGCAAGACCCCCCCAGCACTGCAGAATGTCTTATCAGATGCAGTGGATTTCACGCTCTGCTAGAATTATTCTTACCTTTAATATTCATGCAGGACAGCAAAATCCCTGCCAGAAGCAAGAATGTTAAAAAACTTCAGGGTTAGTTTTAGCACGATCTGACTTCAGACTCCCCTAGAGCAGGGTGACTTGGTGGGTAATTGATCTGGATTTCTGCAGAGGGCATCTCAGTGGTAGATGCAGAGATACTGTCCCAAAGGTTGTTCTTTTTCTTTTGAGACCAAATGTTCTTATTGTATCTGTATTCCTACCAAACAGTCCAAAAGGGTGCGATTACTCAGGAGTTACTTTCTTCTAGTTCTATATGGAAATCCATTAATAAGATACAACAGTCACAAAGGCATTTTGAAAAGCTGTTGGGAACA